CTCCCCTAAATCCGTCCACCCGTGTTGGCCGTTACTGTTTAAAAATAAAGACAGCAAGAATAGAGTGCGAGTGCACAACCAAGACCAGGTCGTCAGTTCTGTGTACATTATAAGAGTTTCTACCTCCCTGTCAAGATACCGTTAACCCACCTACCAGTCAGTTCAGAAGTCAGGTACCGTTATAGTAAGTATTTGCAGATTCGAAAATGATCCGGATGCATTTTTCAACATAAAATGACTTATCAAGACTGTTTTCACATATCATAACTTTTAATTTGTGAGGAGGGCTAGATAATTTAATGGCATAAGACATGTATACTTGTCTGGCAGTAAATACTGATATCAACCATATTGTGTGGATATCAGCCGGTTGATTTGGCATCTAAAAAACTTGAGTCGAATAAATCGATTCCGGGTGCATCTTTACAGGAATCCATTCCAGGCTATTTATCATGAAGTCTACAAACAATAGATGGAGATGCTTTTTGGCTTTGGCAATACTAGAGGCAACAATCACTGACCCTTCCCGGTCTAAAGAAGAAGTAACAGCGTGTTCAACATATTGCATGCTTGTTGCTCATTCACATGAATCATCGGTTACTGAAGAGTTTGTCCGACGCGTGCATTATGTAGACAAACAGAATGCATATGCACGTTACACCGTTAAAGGCTTTTGCAGTGGCATTGCTGGAACAGCAAAATGTCTCATTGCTGTTAGCAGGATGCTGTTGTACGTTTCAGCTTTGTTACCACCCCTTGGTGACCTGTGTATCCTATGTGTCCATTTTTTGCATCATGGCCGACAGGAAGACTGTACAAACTGAAGGTATGCAAAAAGCTTGTCGCCTGTGTACAAACCTAAGAGAAGAAATACAAAAATCGGAACATTTTCGTTTTTAACAGCCAGCTTTTTATGTCAGATCAATTTTGTCATCTATAATGCGACAGAAAATGGCCAAATCTACAATCTAAACAAGAAATCATAGTTAAAGTTTTTGAGATATTAGGATCAAATACTATACTTATATAAATATATGTTCAGGCTATCAGTCCCTTTAATGAGACGGTGCGTGTCGTATACATTATGCTCATTTTCGATTAAAACATAGTTCTTATCTGTTTTGATCTCCTATACTGCTTGAATAATGGCTATGGTTTTCTGATGTACTGTTTATTCCTTATTGGTAACTCTAACAGAATAGTAATTTCATTGCATTTGTTTTGCCTCCAATTTACAACTCTGCATTCATACTTGCATTTTTGTGTTTCGATTGTCCATACCTAAATGTCTGGTTTCATTTGGAATCTCATGCAAAACATACAGCATTTTGGGTGCTGCCAAGCTCATTGGAAAATTTTCCAATAGGTGTGGACTGATGGGAGCCTTTTGGCAATATTCATTCCAAGAAAAAAGCTGTGGAATTTGCATATAAACTAGACTAAAGGTGGCGCCCCGTACAAAAAACATAAGAATCATAGGCATGTTCATTATGACTTGGCACTTCACGAACAAATAAACAACTTCCATTCTCCCACACGGTTACATAAATTGGGTCGATACTTCTGTTTTCCCCAAAAGTGATTTTATTAAATGATCCAGGGACTTGTTTCAAATATCGTTTGTGTATTATAGATTACCTGGTTGAAGTATATGCACACTTAGAGTAAATGTTTCATTTTTACAAATCAGGCATCGTGGACAAAACTATGATAATTTTACCTTGTTCAATTTGCCATAAATGTGTTTCCATCAGCTCTTTTATCAAACCCGCCTTAGTTATCCTCCGTGTTTCTGACTCCTTGATAACTGGTCAGCTAAAATATTCAAACGGCATATATGATGCCTTCTGTAGAATCAGACTGTTTCACACGTAATATCCAAACGAAGGAAATCCATATAATTGCAGCAAAAGAATAAACTAAATTTTGATGTCTTTATGCAAAAGAAATGCTTCAGTTGTACTTAATTCGGTCCTAACAGGTTGAATTTGACGGCGAACCTACATCTACTGACAGGACGTTTATTTCGGCGTTTAAAAACTATGACAATATCCAGAAGACAACCTCGATTTCAATTCCCTACTGTCCGTGGAAGTTATTATCTATATTATCTATAGATGCTATTTTGTGAACTAGCTAGGTCGTGGCCGAAGTTGACCGTAAATTTAAAGTGCAACAAATATTACATTTATTTGGGGATTTAAATCTTTCAACATACGAACCAAAATATGTTTAAGATCATCAATTGTTATTTTTCGCAGATTCTTTAAGGTTATTTTTGATTACTGCTAGAATGGCGTTTATAAAGTTAGACATCACATAGGTTCCTTTACACATGTCAGGTAATCCTCTATTGGTCTTCCACTTAAGTAGAAGAAAAAAATAGCTTTTTCAATCTTTTATAGGTGGGCTAACTCATAAAGCGTCAGCCGAAATTCTAAAATGCGTTTCCGATTCGCAAAGATCAATCAAGTAGGACTGTCAAATTAATAATCGACCAACGCTGTACGCCCGTACAGCTTTCACTAACCTATAATCAATGGCACTATTTGTTTTTATTAATTAGTGTAGTACTATGCTGGACGGGGCCAGACGGGGCTGGTGCTGGCAGGGCAGTTACATCAGAAATGCTGTCTCAATAATTAACCAAACCTCGACCAGATTTTTTTAAAAGAATGTTAACTAACTACTGTTTTATCATAAGGGTCATTCATTAGACTGTGTTTTCAGTCTGAATTGATTATATGTTGTGTGTACGTTTTATTTTCGCTGAATTTATTCAACTGCATTACGTCTCCCTCTAATACCTTAGTAATTAGGTGGTTGATTGTTTTTACTTGCCTGAAAACGGTATCAAGCACTATTAACAAAGAATAATAAACAAATGTTAAAGGAAATGGAAATAAGTACTTCGATCCCATTCGCATCAGTTATCGCTATGGGTAACTTTTAAAATATTGCCAAAATTATAAGCTGTGTACAGGTAAGAACGGAAGGGCACCGTTATTCCAACGTCCAAGTTGTCTATGGAAAATTCGAAGGTTAAAAACTTTAACAGAGCAGTTAACAATATCAAACGAACCGTAAATACATTAGAACGCGATAATGTCCAAAATCAAACGGCTGTACGAAGACAGACAGTTCAGTTTAATAGTAATTGAGGCAGGCAAGAACATAGAATGGCCGTTTTCAGCAAAAGGAGATGGTTTTCCGGAAAAAAAGGAATGTCCTTGGCGTAATAAAGAGCAATTGACGTGCATTTTCAGTGCTTCTCATAAATTTTTCAGAAGACGTGTTTGCGGGGACTATTTGCGAATTGGTCTCACTCCTAGACACCGTGGCCCGCTAAATTACTACATCGGTTTTAGTGGCTCATAAATTAGTGATGTTTTTAATTCAAAAAATGTACATTAGTAAGCAGTGGCATTGAATAACCCCTCGGATTGATGCGTTTTTTGTTGTTTTTTTTCAAAGTTATTTATTTCACTAGCTAAATAAGCATGGCTTTAAATATATATACTCCTCAGGAATATCCGTAGTAGTTAATCAAAATCTATAGAATAAGATATGGCGGAGGCCGAGAATGCTAAGGATAGCACACGCGGTGGTAGTGAAGCACTGGGAATAGATCCTGGCCAAGATCGATCTGAATAGAATCGTTAACGCGTAACAGTACTCATCCATATGAAAGGGAAGAAGAAACGTGATATATGCACAACGGTTTACTGGGAAGAAATACAAGATGGGGATACACACTGTAGTATTTGTTTGTGCAAACAAGATAAGTGGGCGAGGGAGGTGCCAGATAGGGCGAGAGAGACGAGCGAAGGTTACGGCGAGTTTCTGGGGAAGTTTGCGGTAGAGAGAGGAGAGGGTACCGGCCATTTTCCCAAACACCCATTTGTACCATCACCATTCTTGGTCAGCGCGGGAAGTGTCACTTCACTCATACAACCCTATACTGTTTATGGGACGTTAGAATATATAGCCAAGAGTTTCGAGAAAGACCGAATCACCTGCATGTGTCAAAGACGAGTAACATCTGTTATTATAACATGTTATACTGGGATGCTTTGTATTTCTGTTAGATTCCGTCAGCTATAATCTCTGCAACGACATGGATCTAGTGCACTGACTGAAGCCTGCCACATTACGACCTAATGTAATGAAAATGCATATGGAAAAACGGGTAATGTGTGTAAGAAAATGTAAACTGCAGATTTACGAGGGCAGTAACAAGAATGATAGGGCACAGCCAGCCCTGATGGGTTGCTCGGGACAGTCGGTAGACAGTAAAAGTGTGCGTCCAAGCGATGACTCTGTAAATCGTCCTCGCCCACATGCAGCGCATTCACCGGAAAGACAGGGTAAGGAAGACCATGCTCGCCAACAGTGTCTGGTTATTCAGGGTTTGTCAGAATCGAATGCAGTCAGACCTGAAGACCGTGTCTCAGAGGACCTTGCTTCTTTTCATGGTCTGCTAAATCATTTACTGCCGGCAGACATGGAAATAAAGGTTCTGAAAGCATTCCGGATAGGAAAAAGGAGTGAAGACAGGACAGTAGCACAACCACCTCACCGTCTCAAAATTATGCTGGAGAACAAAGAGCAAATCAAGTTTATCCTCTCTAAAAAAACTGATCTCATAAACACACACCAACAGGTTTTTTTCAACCGGACTATTCACCAGCGGAACGGTTGAAACGCCGGGAACTTGTTTTGGAGTTAAAATCAAGACTGAAGGATGGCGAACACAATCTGGCTATCTTCAAGGGGAAGGTAGTTCGGAAATATATGCCGTTTCAGTGGAACCAGCCTGTAATACTACGAACGACGACAGCTACTCAGCTAAAACAGACACCTTCGTTGAACCACCTGATCAAGGCGCCAACACAAGTGAGCCCGTAGCGTCCAGTGATCTGACTGAAACAAGGCATGTAAATGGAACCAATCAGGTAACGGAAGAGCCTAGAGAACACGACGTCCGCGATAACGGAGTAATGCTCACAGCAGTAACAAATGCAACGGGAAATTCGGCTGGTGCAAAACTGAGGTGCTTGTACACGAAGGCCCAAAGCCTCATATCGAAACTAGACGAACTTAAACTTTGCCTTGTTGAGCTGTCTCCAGATGTTTTAGCAGTAACTGAGACCTGGCTGTCCGGGAATATTAGCGATAACGAAGTAGCCTTGCCTGGACACCAAATTTATCGGAGGGACAGGGAACATCGTCAGGGTGGTGGTATTGTTGTGTATGTGAATGAAGGTCTGGCAGTGTCGGATAACACCACCAAGTTTGCGTGCAATACGGAAGCTATCTGGTTGGCCATCAAGGCTACCGGTTCCCCGAGTCTTGATGTCCTCTCTGTCTACCGATCACCTAGGACAAACCGAATCGCCGACACTCAACTATTGGAGCAGTTGGTGAAATTTTCCAGTCGATCTAACATCATGATCATGGGCGACTTCAACGCACCAGGAACAAACTGGAATACCCTCCAAGCGTCAGGTCCAAAATCGGCATTCGATTACCGCCTGTTGAGCAAAACATTAAATGCGTGCCTCACACAACATGTAATGTTCCCAACGAGAACACGTGAAGGACAAAGGGCAAACTGCCTGGATCTGGTCTTTACGAAATCACCAGACAGCCTAGACGAGATCAACTCCATGCCGCCCCTTGGCCGAAGTGACCACGTAGTGCTTATGTGGGATTATTCGTTATTCTCCATTTCACATACTCCAGACCACAAAAGACGTAATGTTTGGCGGGGCGACTTCAATCAGATGAGGGCAGACTTATCCGGTCTTGACTGGGGCTCATTGATTACGGGAAGTGCCAACGATGACTGGGAGCTGTTCAAGAATGTCCTTCTGCAGCTCATCAACAACCACTGCCCATTGACTGGTGTAAGACTGAACAAACGCCCTGGGTGGCTAAATAGCAACCTTAAGAAAGAAATCAACAGGAAGCACAGATTGTGGAGAAAATACTGCGTCCCTAGACAAGCTGAATGCTTCAATACCTACAAGACACCGAGGAACAAACTGGGGAAGCTGATAATGAAGACGCGGCGGGAATTCGAGAAGAACTTGCTACAAAAAGCAACGCGGAAACCAAAATTACTCTACAGCTACCTCCAACGAATTACGAGGAACAGGCATCAAATCCCCTTGATAAAGACTACTGATGGCGTTGAGATCGCTGATAGTAGGGATACAGCTGCGTATTTTTCACGGTTTTTCCAATCAGTCTACACAAACGAGGCAAGGTTCCTTCTTCCCTCCACAGACGAACTGCCGACTCCAAGCGTCAGTGATATACTCTTCTCAGAAGGCATTGTCCGAAGAGAATTAGAGGCATTGAACGAATCGAAGTCGCCAGGACCAGACGAGATTCCACCCAAGCTTCTGAAGGAACTTGCCAGTGAGCTTTCTGTGCCTTTGTCGATCCTCTTTCAAACGTCATTTGACACTGGAACACTTCCTATCGATTGGAAGCTGGCGCATATTACTCCGCTACACAAAGGAGGTAACAGGGCAGCGACAACAAATTACAGGCCCATAAGCTTGACATGCATTCTCTGCAAAGTTATGGAAAGGATCATAAAGACTGAACTGATGCAATTCCTGGAAGTTCACGGCCTGCTATCGAACTGCCAACATGGGTTCCGGAAAAGAAGATCCTGCACGACAAAATTGCTGCAATCTCTCCAGAGCTGGACCCGAGCACTCGACGACAGGTACGCGGTCCACATAGCCTTCATCGACTTCCAGAAGGGTTTCGACACTGGGCCACACCAAAGGCTCTAACATAAGCTGAAAAAAATAGGGATCGGTGGAAACTTCCTGAAATGGATCGAAGACTTCCTTGTGGGTCGACACCAGGTTGTGTGCATCGGTCGGGGAAAATCAGATCCGGCTATGGTCGATAGTGGTGTCCCCCAGGGTTCAGTGCTGGGACCCATTTTGTTCCTTATCTACGTGGACGATGCCGCAAGAGGTTTAGACTGTGAAGTAGCAATGTTTGCGGATGACATGAAGATATGGAGTGTAATTCGGGGTCCTGCCGATGAAGACAGACTTCAGATGAACCTGAATCGGTTGGAGGAGTGGTCAAACCGTTGGCTCCTGCGGTTCAACGTTGCCAAATGTAGCATACTTCGCCTGGGCAACACAGCCAGATCCGCCAGCACAAGAGACTACTCTCTGGGCGGTGCAGTCCTATAAGAGGTCGAAGCCCAAAGGGACCTCGGTGTGCTTACGACGAGTTCCCTAAAACCATCCGCCCACTGTTCGAGGGTGGCAAAAAACGCAATGTCCGTACTGTACGCCATCAAGCGTGCGTTTATGGACTTTGACGAAAAAGTTTTCTCTAAGACATTCGGAACATTCGTCCGGCCGCATTTAGAGTACGGAATACAAGCTTGGAGGCCGTGGGCTGTTGAAGATCAAAACTGCCATGAAAGGGTCCAGAGGAGAGCCACGAAGATGGTTAGGGGTCAAAGCTCCTTTCCTTATGCAACTCGCCTAGTAAATCTGAACCTCTTTCCTTTGAGTTAAAGGCAACTTCGCGGAGGTCTCTTGCAAGCCTTCCGCATTGTAAAGGGGTTGGATTGCAGTCTGGCCTTCGAGGACTTTTTTGAATTTGCTACCACGACCAACCTCCGAGGTCACCCGTTAAAACTGCGCACTCAGCAGGCACGGCTGGATGTGCGGAAGTTCTCCTTCTCGGTTCGGTTGGTCAAACCATGGAATGAGCTTCTCGCAGATGTTGTGATGTCACCATCTATACAAATTTTTAAGAAGAATCGGGACATATTTATGTTCCGAAATGGCCAAGAGCGATGAGAAGTCGAGCTCACCCCCTGTAACTCCTTCTCATTTTGTCCCACCATTATGGGCGTGTTCGAACTATTTCAGCCCGGAACATCTATCTGTACACCACACATTTTTTACGTTGCAAATAGGCTACTCAAAGGCTTACGCCTATTTTCCTCAATAAACTGAACTGAACTGAACTGACTCCACTCCTCACACATGTGGGTTCGGTAATATCATTCGAAATCTTAACTTATTGTGTACGAGCGCCAAAATAAGAGGATATAAAATTCAGATGTTTGCCACCTATTCCCAAAGAGGATCGTTTCAAGAGAGGAAGAGCATGGTCAACAAGATCAAGAGCCTTAGTGAAATTGAAATATACTGTGTAAATTGCAAAACCATTGTCCCTGGACTGGAGAAAATTATCGGAGAAAGGGAGCTGGCGGGTGTTAAAAGACCGAGCTTTGAGGAATCCATTCTGCGCAGCACTGAGTATGTTATTCTCAGCTATCTTACACATCCTCTTATATTTGATCAATGTCTCTAAGATTTTCGAAGTGCGGGAAGGGTGTTTATTGGCCGAAAGTCGTCAAATGACGTAAACTGGCGATGCTTGGAATAGGTTTAATGTGTGACTCCTTTCACAAAGTAGAGTAGGTTTTACTTTCGAGGGCGAGATTAGAATGCTTACTGCGACGCCATCGAGTCCAGGGTTATGAGATCATCAAAAACTCTAAATCGCTATGGTCGCGCTCCACAAAGTAAAGGTTATAGCTTCTATAACTGCCACTGTGAATGCCTGGAAGGTCGGAAGCGAAGCACTCGGCTTTTTAATAAACGTTTTGGACAGGAAACCATTAAAATTATCAGCGGTCAACTGGGCATCAGCTCTAGGATTTCCGAAAGCGTCTCGGAATGTGGGATGCTGCGATTTTCTGAGAGTAAGAACTTTTTGCGAGAAAAGTTTCGAGAAATTTCACGAACGGTTTTCGGTGAATTGGACCTCTTCGGCTAGCTGTTTTCCTTCGGACGATTTCTTAGCACGCTCAAAAATATCATCAATCAAGGGAAAAATGGAAACGTTGTGCTGAAGATGGAATCGACGTGCGGCAAAAAGCTAAGGGTGGAAAAACCTCATCCCCGACATTTATTATATTCCTAAAGCGAGAAAACGAGAATTAAGCCGATCGCAAAGTTTGTACAGTTTGGCAGCGCTAACTTAGGAATAAACCCGCCAATCGTAGGAATTAAGGTGTATTAATAATTCGGACGAGCGATCTGATCGGGAACCGAGGAAGAAGTCATACTATGGGGATATGATTTAATCCGCCTCGAGTTCTAACTTTAAAGAAACTATGTAGTGGTCTGAGCCCGCCAGTGGGCCTAGGGATGATAATGACAAAGGCATGCAACCTCTACAGGCAATTAGGTGGTCAAGTATGCTTGATTCTCGGATGGGAAAATCAACAACCTAACTCCACATCCCAACATCCACATCCTCAAGAAAGTATTCGAACCTTCTGGGGCCGGAGACGGAGGCCAACCGATATCAGGAAGATTAAAGTCACCCGCAACCAATTTATACTTAAAGTTTAAGTTGGCCGCAGCATGAAATGCCTATGAGAGTAATCGATCAAAATTATCGTGCAACCTGCAGCCAGCAGCTGCCTTCTACCGCCGAAAAATGCAGGAGGTCCACCGGCAGAAATGTAAGTGTTTGCTTAACGTAAACGCCACTGCCCCCACCAGGGACGTCTTGACGATCATTTCGAATGCAAGCAAAGCGTAGAAGAGAGAGTTCGGAGTCGGCTACGGAAGCCAGTGCCCATGTCTCAGTTACTAAGACAATATTTGGGCAATGGAAGAACACCAGAATCTGAGGCAAAGGCATCTTATTTAACAAGGATCCGGCATTTAGAATAAAATGTTGAAGGGGAAAGACTATTTCTGAGAGAGGTTGGCTTCGTCTTCCAGTGATTGGCTGCCCTCGGGACCTACGGTCCTGATGCCCCTATTCGGTTCTGAAAAAAATCTTGCGGCCTGAAAAGATGCTGACGCGAACAAAGAGGAGTAGGATTTGGTGGGGGGGGGGGGAATGACTGGCAGGGGAACTGGTGACCCTTGTTAGATAGCTAATTTTCCGCCGGAAATCCGCGGGCCTGATACTGCAACCTATTCCCGCCTGAGCGGCAGTAAGGAACGGCTGAGTAAACTGACCTAGTATGGACATTAGAATGAGGAATGGATCACTAAAATGGCCGTGGACGAAAATGATGGGGGTGGAAGACGCACTGCCTCAATTGGGGTAGGAACTCTATTTAAAGGCGGGAATGTCGGCGTATTCGGTTTAACCGCCCTGATATGAGGTCGGGGAGGTTGTTGTAAACACGCTATATTTTGGGTTGTGGTGTTTGAGGCAGTGGCGGGCGAATGCGGAAAAAAGATTTCTTAAAGAACTGGATTTACCCGGTGTTCTAGTAGCTGAAACAGCACTCGCATTCGCCTTCGAATTAGGCGCATACTTAGGGCTACTGGAGTTGCTGGGCGAGTCGGTAGGGGGTATTACTAGACCAGGCGTTTTGTTGCGTCTAAAGATCTCAGCCAATGGTGTAGGCGAATTTCCTACGGAAGTGACTATGCCATGACGTGGTGAGGCCGCAGATGATGATGATGATGAAGAAGAGTTATTTAAAACGACAATAGGTGTCATTATGTCGGTGTCGGTTTTCGATATGTTCAAGTTGTGCAGCCTTCACTGTGTTGGTGTGGGGTCCGGCAAAACTGAGTAGCGCCATTCACGGCAAAATTCTCTAGTTATCTCCTTCCTCGACAAGATAAAGTCGACTTCCATCAAGGAGAATAGGGTAACTAGTATCGGCAAATTACGGCTGAGGGAGCGCAGTCGTTTAGCCTGTAAAACACTGAAACCTAAACCGCAACTTTGAGGGAACAAATTCGCTCCCTCTATAGCATATATGTGACTCAGAATGTCTCGCAGTACAAAATTATGCTTGTGCTTTATTCTCACCTGAGTTTCGGAGCTTATTACTCCAATAACTTTAAACGCGTGTTCAATCGCTTTTTCAGAAATGCTGCCTATATCTCCATATATCAACCGATCTAGTATTTCGTCGGCTGGTGTTCCGTTACGACTAGAAGAGGCGTCGTTTTGAACGATTAAGGGGTCAAAAAGTTTTGCATGGACTTACGAGATTTTTGAGTCAGCATATCCGCAGAAGATAGCAAGCACATGCTGGCACCCCTCATGACCCCGGGCACGATTCTAGCCCTCAGATACGAAGGGGAAGCCGCACGTTTTCCTCTATTAGTACATGTCCTTCGGGGCATTACGGGGTACTAGATAGGTTTTCCGTTGCAGTAAAAGGATCAAAACGTTGCTAACGTACAAAAAAACGCACAGAATACCAAGTACTACTGTTATTTTACTACAAGACAAGAAAGAGATGGTCTGACATGCAAAGGCTTTGCAAAACGCGGCTGCTTTATTAGACTAGAGAAAATTATATCCGGCAATGAAGAGCGACTTTTAAAAAAGACTCGTATAAAAAGTAGGAATTAGTTGCCTAGGGAGGTCAAAGTATAGGCAAAGCTTCACATGTCTTCGAAATTGAGCTTCGCGCCTTGATCTTGGCCTTTGACAATTTTCCAGAATGCTCATAAAGCTATAAATAATACAGAGATGTAAAAGAATACGGATTTGTGTGACTTTGCATGCTATTTCTGAAAAATAAATGAAAGAAATCTGCCAGTGAAACACCTTCAGCGTCAAATCCTCGATTTGCGGATGTTAAAAGGGGCAAAAATCGCACGCAAGAACTGTCCTCAACCGTCCATCCGCAACCTCCAATGTCGCCATCGACTACCTGCTCCAAGCAGAAAAGAACCGCGACCAGGACCTCCCAACTTTCCTTCCCAGAAGCCGTCAGAGCCGTACAACAACTTTCTGGCGAGAAAGCACTGGGCTTCGACGCTGTCCCCGTAGAAATCTACAGGGACGGTGAACCCCGGTTGTTGGAAAAACTTACTACGATATTCCAGGATATATAACGCCAAGAACGAGTCTTTTTAAGAATTCGAGGACGTGAATATCGTCCGTCTCTAAAAGCGGAAGGAGGGACGGCAGATATATAATAAGCACATAGGAATCTCGCTGTCTATTACTGTCGAACAGATCTTCACTCTCATTCTTCTCAATCTTCTCATCGACCGACTTCCCAGGGAAGCCCCTTCGTCCTTTCGTGTCTGATTCGAACTCATTCGGACTAACTGATCCTAACGTTTTATGTAATTTTCTCAATGGTTCATGTAGCCAACATTCGGTTTCTTATTAGTCCCCAAAAAGGCCGAAGGGAAACTCCTTTGTTAATTTTTTATGTTGACAACTGCTGGTCCAATAGATTGCCTCATTTTGTAGACCGTGGACCGGGGGGAGTGCGCTCTTCCCTTGGGGATCATAGCCGCCCAGCATATTAACCCGTCTCCCCTATCCCTTCCTAGTCCACTGAGTGACGCCTAGACCGCCGCTACTGTCCAATGTATTTTTAGTCCTGTCTTGTGCACCTGATAGGTCGGACATCACAGTAATCAATCTGTTTCCGTTGATGGACGGCACAATCAGACGGTTAGTGACGACAAGAATTTGAATTCTTTTTTTCTTGTCAGTCACCAACCATATTGCAGGGAAGCGTCCACTATCTCTTCATCCGTGTTGCCGCCAGGGAAGCAGGCTTTCGCTCCTCTTTCATTGCCTTCTCTTACGCGCGTTAGCAACTTTAAGCCAAAAGTGATGAAAACTAAGTTATCCAATTGTTTCGATCGATTTCGCTGACCCCAGTCGGTATTCTGTTGGTCAAGAATTTGTTCACGTAAAAGCGTTTGCGAGAACAACACCGAATGGAGATACCGTGTGCCCACTCAGGTCAAATGTAGACAATGTACAGGAATAATGTTCAGTGGACGTTTATGCCCGTAGATCCAAGGTCCACAGGCTCAGGCCGAAGTCTTCATGTATGAATGTTTGAGCCGGAATGCATCAGCCACAGAGGGTAACCGAGTAATGTTAATTAACTGTCGACAGAGAGCTATAAGTACACTTTAATCTAAAGAGCTACCGTACTAACAGCACAGGCATTAGTCATAAATACACTACTAGCTGCCTGTCGGCGTTTAATGAATAGTGCGCCGTTACTCGCTGTGGCTGGTCGACTTCTGCCTAAATATTTCTAAACAGAATCTTCGGTCTGATCCTATAGACCTAAAATATACTGATCTGCTCCAAGTTCGCAGTTAATTTCTGAGGAAATTAAAAAGGCAACAAATTCTAAAGTTTATTCTCGTGCCCAAACTAGCCGCTGGTGATATAAAATATAACGCCCTTGTCCTATGGAAGCACTGAACGCCCTGTCGTAGGGTCAGGTGATAAGACTACGCTGACCAAACGCTACCAGACACGAAAACCCCACCAAACAAAGGACTAGTCGAAGTCCGTTGAGCGCTCTAACTGTGTATATTGCGTTCCAGTCCTCAACTATTCCCGGCAGTTTTACGGGCCAGACTAAATTAAAGCCGAAAAAATACACAAATGAGCACCGCCCGGCTGTGCCGTACGGAAATCAGTATTCTATTGTCAACCGTGTCCAACTGGGAGCCAAGAGTTTAAGCACACTCTTAGATGAGAGGCTTAGAGTGCTGGTCGTGTTCCAGCTTCGTTTTTCTTCTATCCCGCAGGACCTGGCAGTCGAGACCATCGAACTACTCCTACGAGAGAAATACGACGACTCGGAGAATCACCTCGGACACGCCCAAATCATCCAGCTCCTGAAGTTCTGTCTGAAGACGTACTTTACGTTCGACGGAACTATCTACGAGCCAATGGGTTTGCCGATTTCGGGAACTCATAGCCGAGGCGGTCCTACAACGGCTGGAGTCGCTGGTTTTCCGACACCACAGACCGAAATTATGGGCTCTGTACGTGGATGACACCCTCGTCGTCATCGAACGGGATCAGGTGTTGACATTCAAAGAACATCTCAACACCGTCTTCCCGGACATTCAATTTACGATGAGGGAGGAGGAAAACAATCAGCTGGCCTTCCTGGATGCCCTCGTCTGCCGCAAAGATTGTGGTGGCCTAAAAACCAAAGCGTTCAGGAAAGCGATAAATACGACGCAAATACTGGACTTCAATAGCAACCACCTGATCAGTCACAAACGCAGTTGCGTAAGGGCGCAATACCGGCGCGTTGAGACGCTCTGCAGTGAAATGGAAGACAAAGTTGCTGAATTACAATATCTTCGATGGGTAATAAGAGCCAGTGGTTACCCGCGCAACTTTGTCAACCAGTGCATACGAAAAGGACACTAGAGGCCAAATCCAACCGGCCCCAAATTTTGGCGGGCCCTTCCGTACGTGAAGAGCGTCTCCGAAGCCGTCAGTCGTCTTCTCCCTCCACTTGGAGTTGGGGTTGAACACAGGCCGGAAGCAACCATTAGGCGCCAAGTCATGAGGCCAAAAGGCCCGCTGCCACGGCAGGAAACGTCTGGAGTCGTTTATCGGATCTGGTGTAGTTGCGAACAAAGCAATTATGTCGGATAAACTGGGAGATTACTCCGTACGCGAATTGCCGAGCACGCAGCAGCAGTGAGGCGGGGAGACGCTAACTCTCAGGTGTCGGCGCACTCAACGGGACCCGGCCATATTTTCAAATTTCAAGAGGCCGAAATCCTCGCAAGGGGTGACGACCGCGTGAGCCGCGAGCTGCTCGAGTCATAGTTCTCAGGCCCGCAATCCATCAGCAAGCACAATGACCTCCCGGTACCCTATTCTGTGCTGCGATTTTCCCTGAGCAGGAGAATCAGTCACGTGGGGAGGGCGCGGGCGAGCAATTATCACATTGACAGTGAGCCAGTTTGCCGAGCAATCGTCACACCGGCATCCAGCACGGATGACGAAATCACGGCAATTAACGACTCGGACTCGGACTGACAAACCACCACCGCATCAATTACGACCCCAGCGGTGATTGCGAGAACAGTTAATTGCCGTGCATATACGGTCCACAGCAGTCAAATGCTATAAATACTGCACTTTTGGTGCCACCATCACCTTTATCTGCGAATGTCTCTGATGATGGATTCGAGTGAGGAGCCGAAACGTCAGGCCTATAAATTTCTTGTTCCAGTGATCGCATCTTCATCTTCCGAACTTCTACCTGGAACTCGCCTGTTCGCTTCTATCAGCATTCGTTTTTTCTGTCGTGAGTTCGAATTCCATATAGGCCGTCGACTCGGTCATATGAATCATTGAAATCTATCAAAAATACCTATGGAAGTGGAATAGCCACGAGCTGGTCATTTATTTAAAATTCCTTCACCTGTCCACGAAACGCTATTTCGCTTTTAGATCAGTCGACGTTCTTATAGTTAACTATAGTCTGCGGGTAACTGGCAGTGCTTTGAAGCGCCTGCAACAGACTGTAGCCTCCAAAAGCAATATAAGAATGTTATCTACATTACTTCGGTAATACTTTTGTAGTAGGCTTGATTGGTTGACTGGACAGGAGGTTCGTACTCCGCCAGTCCACTAGCCGGAAGACCAGTGCAGGCATGCGGGGACCGCACGAACCAGGCGAAGAAGCGGGACGTTCACCGCTAACCAGAATCTCATTTAAACCCTACAGGAAATAATTGGCAGAAATGTGAAGCTAGAGCTTACACTCTTTCATCAGGCGCACTGTCCAAACACTCATAATGCCCCTTAATTTATCTCTGCCCCCTATAAATCGTCAAGCCTTGATCCCAATTACTACATTGAGGATCACTCGACACTCCTCAAGGGTCAACAGTTTCAAGCCTTACCGACAACTACTGGGTGGCGCGGAAGCCAATTCTTCCGCCTCTTAAGATTCGTGTGCGGAGGTCCAACGCGGTATTAGCTTTGAGGTCGTATTTGTTTATTTTCTTACACTACTGACAGTTCAGTCACAGTCGCAACGATGTTAACCATTTGCCTCATAACAAGGTGGGGGTGCAGGACGGTGACTTGTACGTGAAGTAGTGATGGGGGACTAACGCAGCGTCTGTCGTGTTCCCCATTCCTTCATCCACCTAGGCGTAGCGTCAGGACAGAGTCAGAACGGCAGGAGTCAGGCTCGGTAGCAGTATTTGACAAACCTAAACAACCCGTTTGTGCGTACCACACGCGATCTGTAAGTGTAATATAGATCGAGGTCTCACATAACAAAGGGTGGGGGGCTTAAATCCAATCTGGGTGGGGAGCATATAGGCTATACTGAGGAACTACTGCAATCTGATTTGCGCGTGAATTAGCCTATAGTGATTGCAGATTTGCGCAAAGTCTGCCGCTCCACCTCTCCTGCCTCAGCCCCCTGGGTTCGGTAGCAAGACTGAGTCAAGGCTATCGAAAGTGGGTGCGGATGGCTCACAATATTCTCTGTAAATGAAAATTACTATCTAATAGCTGACAACCTTTCTCTGTTTCGAGACGTCTAGGGCGCGGACAGCAAGCTACCCAAAATTGTGTGAAAGGGGACATTTGTCAAGACCAGGGAACTCTGCCTATACTGTCTACCCTAGTAGCAAGGGTATATCGAGTCGATATACTTCAATAGCGTTTTTTCGATATCCCACTCCTCGTAATTTCATTGGTTTCCCCTCCTACGCAACCCTGTCTGTCATTGGTTGGCGTACGTTTGGCGCGTTGCCAAATCGCGCGCTTACGCCTGCACGCCATTATCTCGTGAAGACAGCGGGGTGCAGGTGACTGTGTTGCATCTTCCTTGTTCTTTGTTGTCATTGCCATCTATCTGCTTATTTTCTACATCTTATTGTCATTATGTTTGAGGAAGAGTCCGAGAGAACAAGAAGACGTCGAATTAAGCGATATGGCGACGAAATATTTAGATCAATTGAAGAAACGGTGCGCAAACGACGGTCGTTAGCAAATGTCTCACAAGCCACCGTACACAGCTGCTCTGTTGTATGAGTGGACTACCCGATTCGGCGACGTACGAAGTCATAAAGGGTACGTTCGCAATAATTACTGATCACTGCACTATCCACAGAGGTCTTAGGGATTTGGAATGGCGACGGCAAAGCCATCCTTGCCGATCTGGAGTTGTCCATTAAAAAGCGACTGCGGTGTACCGCAGTCATCGTTTCTCTACGAGTAAGAGGTTTGCTCTGAAATCCCAGCAAAAAGTACCTTCACGTTATACTTGGCGAACGTGGTCCGTGGTTTTGGTACATCTCAGGCAGAACACCCGCTGTGAGTACCAAAGTCGACAGTCCATTCTCCATTGCAGCAACCACCTTCCAACCCGCAGGTCTTCCATCTGCCACAGTCCACCACAAAACCGCTAGAATGCCGTCCAGTTAGCACAGTTAAAGACCCTCAAAATAGGTTGGAATCAAGCTGGTCGGTACCTGCGGTGGATGTACTACCTTATGCAATGCAAATCGAAATTCTGAAATGTGTTTGAGACTCGAAAAGGTCGCTTAAGTAGGGTTGTACTATTAATTATAGTGCAGCATAATCTCAAGTTATCCCAGTCACCTCAGGATGCCGGTTTTTGAACGATCTTCCCCGCCATCTGCATATGCTATACTCTCTAACAAATGATTCGTTGAGTAGCGTGCGTCTTCCACGTTGTAATGTTACTTGTTACGTGGCATAATCCTATAGTATTTCGGACTCGCCATGGTGTTAGCATTTGCGTGTGCTTCTTCCCGAACTCCTGTAGAAGTCACACTTGACAAAAATTCTACTACCTAAGTAGTATGCATTTTCCACATCGGTTTCCTGTGGCCTAAAAAATTAGGTATATTTTACAGAAAACGGTTACAAAATATGTTTTATTTAACGCATTTGATAGCAAATCACGTCATCTTTACATTTTGTATTCGAAGACCTCGTGTTTAAAAATTATGAGATTTTTAATCATGAGATTTTTAAAGCCGTGCAAAGGCCATTCATGCATCGCAGTACCTGCCCGTTTATTAATGTTCCTCATGAAGTATACAACATAGCCCGCATCCACTGCTAAGTTTTATGAACTCTATATGGCACCTTCTTAGAGGTATAGAGGAATGTATAACTTTCCATACGCGGAAAGTATACAACGTGTAGACTGAAATCGCTAAACGCCAATGCAACGGCTGATATGGGTCAAAACTACTCGTTTTTAAAACCGAAAGATACTCTTCCTCCGAGTATAAAATATGAAAATGACGTGATTTGCTACCAAATGAGTAAAAGAAAGCACATTTCGTGCATGTTTTCTGTGAAATATTTTTGAATTTACTAAGGCCATCGAAAAAGGCATCCCAATTAGTAAAATGTTTTGCCGACTGCAGTTTTTACAGGTCGCGAAGAAGCGCACTCAACGGCCAACATTTTGGTGAGTCCGAAACTTCATGGGATTATGCTGCGTTATAAGTAATACTACGACCTCACTTAAGTAGTTCTTCCTAACCGAAAAGGCATTTCAGAACTCCGGCTAACACTTAATGAGATTGGTTACTGACTGTGTGTAGTCATTTTTGCAATGGTTTTTTTAGGCGGCCGGAAGGAAACTCGTCCAAAAGCCGCCATTTGGACGCAATTTAAATACCATGGAAATATGCTGTACGGTAATTAATATCTTGTTATGTTAGGTTAATATCTTATGTTATCTTTTCGAATCGAAAATCAGTTTCAGGATTTCGGTTGATATCCCATCTACTATATGCTCCTGCGTACGTAGCAACAACCAATTTACGCGGACACTATGTCTACTGTAGGCATTCTTCCCCTCCCTACGCCCCCAGTGGAGATGCCGTTCGATGTCCGCACCAACTTCACTCCGATCTGCTTCGTAACAGAGCCATCCCAGTCGGCGACTATACTGTTACAATCTATCCTGTACTGTTAACGCGGCGGTGGTTTTGCTGGTCATTTTCCTCAAACATGAGTGGAAACG